CTTTATTAATGCTCCTGTACCTGGTTCCTGCCAAATAAATGAAATAAACTAAAGTATTTGTGTAAAACTGTTAATGCTTCATAATGTGCAAGTGTAAAGGAATTCACCCAACATCCTCCAAAACCAAACTCAACTTTAACCAAGACTTCACCTCATTGCCTTCGCCACACAAACTTCACAACAGAAAATACACTGATCATGAGTGAGCAGAGCCTCAGCTCAGACCTGTGACCAGAGGACACAGAACCAGGGAGACGCACAGGTCCTCCTTATCTTCTCTGCTGGACAAAGAACATTCCAGAGAAACAACGCCCCAGAAGTTAAAACTTCCAGTTGTCTCGTCCGTCTTTTGTTGTGTTTTTATCCAAATGACTGTAGCTGATGTAAAACGTTCATATATTTCTCACTCATGCAGGAGTCAGAATGACCTCGTCCTGAGAGAAGTCGGACTTTACTTCAGAAACAGAAAAAACTGAACATTGGCAATGGACAATCTGACACAGATCCAGAACATTCAGAAGTGTTCAGGAAAGACTCAGTGTTACTCGTGTTCACATGAGAGTCTAGTGTGAGTATTGTAATGTGAGTATTGTACTGTGAGTATTGTACTGTGAGTATTGGTGTATCGGCTCTTTTTTGACTATCAGAGTCTCTGCAGTGAAGCGTTGGCCTTGTAAGGAGTCATGTTCAGGCTTTATTTGACTGACACATGTCATAAAAATATGATAAGTACTATTACTTTTACTACATTTGTGTTTATCTCCAGTCTGTGGGCAGCAGCTGAATAACGACTGACCAGCACAATGTTATCAGGAAAACGGTAAAGTTTGGAGCAGGATAAAAGACCGAGTTACACACAGCTGAAGTGTGTGTTTTCTTCCCAAATACGTAAATCTGTTGGTGTCTCTGTCCAATCATGTCCAAGTAGAAAGATTTTATTTAAACTTAGAGGGAAACTGGACATTTTTCCCTTGACACAGGATGTATTTGTAGTACTGTATGTGTATATTTTTCTCTTTTTCTCTTTGGACTGTCTGGATTCTGTTATGTTTGATGCATGTGGAGTATTTTGACAAACGTGTGAATATGTAAGTGTACGTACGTTACACAACCAGCAACCTCTCATTATTATTATTATTATTATTATTATTATTATTATTATTATTATTATTATTAAGAAGATAATGTGAACTGTTCATGCTGTGAATATTGTCACTATTGTGTATTTATTTATTGATTGATTCAGTTTTCACATTAATAAACAGTTTAAATAATGTAAATGTTCCTGAATTAGACAAAAGGCAGGTTTTCATCAGCACTTCCCCGACACATAAAGGTAATAAGGCCTAAAATCTCACACATTCATGTAAAAGTCATTTCATTAAAATACAAGTTCAGATACACAGTTAAATATTCACATGATCATAATTAAAACACACAAATATCTGTATATAAACCTGAACACGACTTAACGGTGTCAAAGGTTTTTCACAGATCCACAAAAACAGTTTGGAGGAACATGAGAGGAGAAAAATCAGTTTGTCGACTGGACAGAAGTGAGTTTGGTTGAAGACGTTTCTCGGCTCGTCCAAGCTGCTTCTTCAGTTCTGTCAGACGCTGGTGACACTTCCTTATACCTGCAGGAGGAGCTAACTACACTGAAACTACTCTGGAACTAACACACACTTGTTTACAGTTTGTGTTTGTTAGTTAGATGGATTTTACAGGATTATGATTATGACTCGTTTGAGTATTGATCTGTAAATGTCATGTGAATATCTTTTATTATTAAGATGATTAAATGTATGGCTTGTCAGCTTCTTCTGGAGGAGCCTGAAAAGAGCCTTAAAAGAGAGTCCAGAAGGATTAAAGGTGTTCAGAAACATGTCTCTTTATTAGGCTCACACAGGTACAGATCTTGATTCAAGTTGATTCACACAGCATCTCTCCACGTCACCCCTCCTAGTACAAGAAGAGCTGACAGCTTTATACTGACCATCTCGTCACAATATTGACAAACTGTAACTGGTATTTACAGGAAATTCACAGAAATGTTGACCTAGACAGTGTAACCACAGATAGTCATATGTTAAAGAGTTCAGACACTCCCCCTTTATGTCTCATATACATCACAAAGTCCATCAGAACATGTCCCAAACTCATTGACATTTTAAAGTTCAGACACTGACTTCTCTTTATGACACATGTACAAGAACATTGAACCCCTTCCACATTGCATGGTGAATTAACATGAATGAAAAACTAAAAATACAGAAATTAATTCCCACAGGCTCCTCCACCGCTCCAAAGGTTTGTTTGTTTGTCACGTTCACCATCTGAACAGATCCAGAACATTTAGAAGTGTTCAGGAAAGGCTCAGTGTCACTCGTGTTCACATGAGACTTTAATGTGAATAGAGTTTTAGTCTGTGGGTATCGGCTCTTTTGACTATCAGAGTCTCTGCAGTGAAGCGTTGGCCTTGTAAGGAGTCATGTTCAGGCTTTATTTGACTGACACATGTAATCAAAATATGATAACTACTATTACTTTTACAGCAGTTGAATAACGACTGACCAGCACAATGTTATCAAGAAAACGGTCAAAGTTTGGAGCAGGATAAAAGACTGAGTTACACACAGACAGGTCAGAGGGAGAGTTCTTCAGGTCTTCAGTAAACACCACGTCTGCTTTTGAACCGAACGCTGTGTCTACATTTGGTAAGTACTTCTGTCCGTTCTATTTTACACTCATCATCATCGATCAAGTGTTAATAATCAGGCGGGTTTAGGAGAAGAGCAGCGGCAGCAAAAGTACCTTAAGTCGCTCTTTCAAAAGGTCTGACTCTGTAGGAAACTTTCACCTACAGACAAACTGGTGTGAAGCGTCACATCTGCATCTCACTGTGTCCAAAACGAAGGACATGATTTTTCACTTTCAGAAAGGTGCTCCTCAGAATGACGACACAGATGTAAAGGAGCAGTCAGTGTGTGGACTCCTGTCAGTGTCTTGGAATAATCACTGATTCTAAATTGAGCTTTGACGATAATTGTGCTGCTGTGTTTAAAAGAGGCACCAGCCCTTCGTTTTTGAGGAAGTTGTATTTTTACCGTGTAGACAGAACCATGATGACGCTGTTCTACAAAACGTTTGTTGAATCAGTTTGGATGTTTTCACTGGTCTCATGGTTTGGGACCATCTCTAAAAAACTAAAACAATAGAGTTGACCTGAATCAGTTGGTTAAATGGAGGTGAGGTGATTGTCCATCGTCAGAGTCGTCTGGACTCTCTGGACTCAACAGTTACACTGGTCCACAACTCCCGGCCGGGGGTGGTTTGGTACCGGACCACACAGAAAGAATAAAGAACTTACATTATTTCCATTTTATTTAGTATCTGAGTCTGAACAATGTTTTATTTAGAAAAATGACCAAATTCTCTCTGTTCCATCCGTCTGTGACTCTCTCATTTACACTAATATTAAACCCACAAGCTGCAAAATGAGCCAAAAACAGACGTCTTTGGAAACATTTATTATTATATTTTACAAAATACCCACAGTTTTTGTGTTGGTCGTGTCATTTTATTTTGTCGTATTTATCCTCCACACTTTAAAGGTCGCTCTGTGAAAATATTGTCCAGTTTGTGGCTCAAAAAAGTTTGTGGACCTTTGTTCTCAAAGACGAGCAGCGTCTTCTACACTCACAGTTTCAGCTGCGTCCATCCGGTCACAGACTTTTACTCCCAAGATCTAGAACGAATCACTTTAAAAGGAGCTTCGTTCCAGCTGCTGTTGCACTTATGAATACATTATAATTTATTTATCTACTTGATTTTAGTACCTGTCTTGGAAAAACATGTTTTTTAAATATATATTTAAGATTTATTGTGATTTTTAGCCAAGTGTGATGAATGAATGAATGATTTATGGAACAAAACCGTTCAGCTCTGGAGCTCTGTAACACTTTATCTGTAATTGTGTTTTTTATGTGTGTGTGTTGAGTTTATTGTGGACAAATGAAATGGGAAATGTGGGACCAGCCTCAAATCTGCAAAATAAACGTACCTCCAGGTCCAAATAAAGTGACTGAACCTAAACACGTAACACTGTCTCTTCTGACTGAAGAACAGTTAAACTCCACTCAGTTTCCTTTACTTCTCTGTTTCCGTCCAAAGCATCGTGCAGATCATAACCTCAATAGTTTATCTGGACTTTTCTGCTGTTGTCTTTAGATTTTCCGTCACTTTTCACTAACCTGCGTCTGCAAACTGGTCCAGTTTAAATCAGTGCTGAAAGTTTTGTAACAGTTTTAACCCCTGTTCTTTGTTGAAACACTCCAGTGTTTCATACACATTCTGTTTTCAGTTGCCATAAAAATCGTCCCACGACACCTCCTGCCAATTTGATCAAACTGTGATCATTCCATTCTTAGACTTTTTTTGTTTTTTTACTCTATGACCAGTGTGAAGACGGACTTTGGGCCATGTTTTGTTTTTGAGTAAAGTCAATTTGAAAAAAAATGTTTTGTACAAATTCTGTGTTTTGATTTTTAAACTTCTGTAAAAGTGTTAAACGTTTATTTATTTATTTTTTTTTATAACTTTTTCATGAAGAGTTCTCTTCAAAATGTCACTTTGACATGAAGTTACCAAAATGATGAACCTCTTAGGTGTTAGATTTTGTCATATAAAGTTTACGATCAGCCCACTAATGTCAGAATCACATTTTTTTTCTCTGACTCTGACCAGTTGAAAAAAGTTGCACTGGTGATGTTTCGTACAAAAAGTGTATTTCAGTTTTTGTGTGTGAGGGACACTGGGGTGGAGGGGCAGGACTCTGCTCCGTGAGACACTGACGTCTTCCAAACATAACTCATGTTTCTTTAATAAATCAAATTAAAAGTGTATTTGAATTCCTCCTGTCCAGTGAGTAGCTCATGTAAACTCTAAACTACCTCTGCTTTATCATGTGTTGTTTTCTGCATTTATTTCACTTCCCTGCGTCTCGACGTCACGTTTTACCCTCTGTGTTAACCACACGTGATGGACTTGGCTCTTGTTATGTGCTTTATGCACTGGAAATACTGTTCACTTTAGAGACTGGAGACACTTCCAATCTGCTCCAAACAGAAGCAGTGGACACGAGGCTGGAGTGTCTCACGTGTCCTGCTCTTATGACACAGCTGCTGTTTCTTGCAGGAGTCATGAAGTGGTTGGTGGTGAGTTTGGTGATGCTCTGGAGCTCTGAGGCTGCAGGAACTGACGTGAGCTGCAAAGATGAAAACGGCGACAAAGTGGATTGGTGAGAAAGTGAATATGTTTGGTTTTAGCCCAGAGTCGTCGCTGGCTGTGTCTTTGTTCTGTTACGTCCTGTGTCTCTGCAGGTACATTCTGTATAAAGCACCAAAGGACAACAAAGACACATCCAAACTCAAACTCGAACTCAAACTCAAACCGCTGAGGGCGACGAGTATGTTTATATCAGCAAGAATGTGAAGAGAAAACTGCCAAATCCATCACAGAAATCCTGAGGAACACTCTCAGCCCCATGCTCAAATCAGTGCGGGACATGGTACAGTTTGGTTTATCAGACTACTGCTGTTGTGTCCTTAGGCAAGACCCTTCTCCTCTTCACTGACCTCTGAGAGCTGTAACAGTGTCATTTTTGGTCAAATGTGAATAGAAGAGAGAATAGAATAGAAACACAAACAGTGACAGTGACGTCCTCATCACAGCAGCTTCTGTTTCAGGACGAATCCTTTGGCTTCCTGAGCTACAACGACCAACCTCCAGGATCCAACAGTGGATCAGAGTATGGACACAGCAAAGGTCAGAGACGTACATGTGTGACATCATGTCCCTGTCTCTGTACAGGTGATGTTTCTGTCTCTGTACAGGTGATGTTTCTGTCTGTACAGGTGATGTTTCTGTCTGTACAGGTGATGTTTCTGTCTGTACAGGTGATGTTTCTGTCTCTGTACAGGTGATGTTTCTGTCTCTGTACAGGTGATGTTTCTGTCTGTACAGGTGATGTTTCTGTCTCTGTACAGGTGTGGTGATGGGGGACAGCAGCACTGGAACCGGTCTGTGGTTCACTCACAGCACTCCTCAGTTTCCGTTCAGGAGGGACCAGAACCTTTTCTGGCCTGATAGTGGTTATACAAATGCTCAGACCTTCATGTGTGTGACTCTGGGCTATGATGATCTCAAGACTGTAGGTAAGAAAGAGTTCATGTTGTTTTACTGTAAATTGAACTGAATGCTTTAGATTTTATTATTGCAAGATGATCCTGAGTGTCTAGAAAGTGTCTGGCAAATAAAAGGTTTTATTATTTATTATTATAAACATCACACTTCTGCTTCTGTTCCTCTGCTTCAGGGAGACACCTACAGAACATCAGAGCTCTTGTTTTTGATCATGACCTTCCTGTTGACTTCCACAAAGAGCTAAAGGATGCAGTCCAAAAAAGCCCAGACACTCGCAGTGACTCTGACCACGAGAAACTCCAAGATCTAAAGACCAAAGATGGAAAGGAGCTAAAGATCCTGGCAAAAAAAACTGGCAAAACAGCTGAAGGTAAGAAAATGAGAAGAGCCATTGGTGAAAGCTGCGTGATATTAAAGAGTGTTTCTGTGTTTTATTCAGTTGGAGACCTGTACGTGCAGCTTGCTGAAGAGTTTAAAAGTGACATGAACGCTCAGACCTGGGACCATAATGGTCAAAGAGACAAGAGCTTCTGTTATATAGGCTATAACGTGGTTAACATAAAAGAGGTCAGCACAGATGTTGGAGTGTGGATCAACACAAAAGATCACTCCAAATGGGCTATAACCACTTATGAAACTATCCACTGGACCTGCATCGCAGATAACAATAGAAGTCCATCACAGTACGAAAGGCCTGGAGGAGCTCTGTGCATCAAGGACGAACAAGTCAAAAACTACTTTGAAGAGTTCATAAAGACTACAGAAGACTGTCCCAAACGAAAACGAAGCCATGATTCTCTTGGAAGTTTACCTTCCTCTTTTCCAAAAAAAAAACTAAATTGAATTTGAATTGAATTTGTTTGGAGGATAAGCCCCTTGAGATGTGTCACCATCTCGTTTTCAAGGGGGGTCCTCATGAAAAACTAGCACAGAGCCAACACCAAAAACCACCCGTGAGACTCCATCCATCCATCCATTTTCTTCCGTTTATCCGGGGCCGGGTCGCGGGGGGAGCAGCCTAAGCAGGGACTCCCAGACTTCCTTCACCCCAGACACGTCCTCCAGCTCCTCCGGGGGGACCCCGAGGCGTTCCCAGGCCAGCCGAGAGACATAGTCCCTCCAGCGTGTCCTGGGTCTTCCCCGGGGCCTCCTCCCGGTGGGACATGAACACCTCCCGAGGGAGACGTCCAGGAGGCATCCGGAACAGATGCCCGAGCCTCAACTGGCTCCTCTCGATGTGGAGGAGCAGCGGCTCTACTCCGAGCTCCTCCCGTGTGACTGAGCTCCTCACTCTGTCTCTAAGGGAGACGCCCAGCCACCCTGCGGAGGAAACTCATTTCGAGCGCTTGTATCTGTGATCTCGTCCTTTCGGTCACTACCCAGAGCTCATGACCAGAGGTGAGAGGAGGAACGAAGACTGACCGGTAAATCGAGAGCTTCACCTTTCGACTCAGCTCCTCTTCACCACAACGGTCCGATACAGCGACCGCATCACTGCCGAAGCTGCACCGATCCGCCTGTCAATCTCACGCTTCCGTCCTCCCCTCACTCGTGAACAAGACCCCGAGATACTTGAACTCCTCCACTTGAGGCAAAGACTCCCCACCCACCCGGAGAGGGCAAGACCACCTTTTTCCGGTCGAGAACCATGGCCTCGGACTTGGAAGAGCTGATCTTCATCCCAGCCGCTTCACACTCGGCTGCAAACCGCCCCAGTGCTGCAGGTCCTGGTTCGATGAAGCCAACAGGACAACATCGTCCGCAAACAGCAGAGATGAAATCCTGTGGTCCCCAAACCGGACCCCCTCCGGCCCCTGACTGCGCCTAGAAATTCTGTCCATAAATACAATGAACAGAACCGGTGACAGGTGCAGCCCTGGCGGAGTCCAACATGCACCGGGAACAGGTCTGACTTACTGCCGGCAATGAACACAGCTCCTGCTCCGGTCATACAGGGACCGGACAGCCCTTAGCAAAGGGCCCCGGACCCCATACTCCCAGAGCACCCCCCACAGGACACCACGAGGGACACGGTCGAATGCCTTCTCCAGATCCACAAAGCACATGTGGACTGGTTGGGCAAACTCCCATGAACCGAGCACCCAATGGAGAGTGTAGAGCTGGTCCAGTGTTCCACGGCCAGGACGAAAACCACACTGCTCCTCCTGAATCCGAGGTTCGACTATCGGCCGGATTCTCCTCTCCAGTCCCTGGCATAGACCTTACCGGGAAGGCTGAGGAGTGTGATCCCCCTATAGTTGGAACACACCCTCCGGTCCCCCTTCTTATACAGAGGGACCACCACCCCGGTTTGCCAGTCCAGAGGTACTGTCCCCGACCGCCACGCGATGTTGAAGAGGCGTGTCAGCCAAGACCCACAACATCCAGAGACTTCAGGTACTCAGGACGGATCTCATCCAACCCCGGAGCCTTGCCACCAAGGAGCTTTCCAACCACCTCAGTGACTTCGGCCAGGGTGATGGATGAGTCCGCCTCCGAGTCCCCAGCCTCGGCCTCCTCCTCGGAGGACGTGACGGTGGGATTGAGGAGATCCTCAAAGTTTTCCTTCCACCGCCGGACAACGTCCCCAGTCGAGGTCAACAGCTCTCCCCCCGCACTGTAAACAGTGTTGGTGAAGAACTGCTTTCCCCTCCTGAGGCGCCGGACGGTTTGACACAATCTCTTTGAGGCCGTCCGATAGTCCTTCTCCATGGCCTCCCCGAACTCCTCCCAGCTCCGAGTTTTTGCCTCCGCGACCACACGGGCTGCAGCACGCTTGGCCCCCGGTACCCGTCAGCTGCCTCAGGAGTCCCCCGAGCCAGCAAGGCCCGATAGGACTCCTTCTTCAGCTTGACAGCATCCCTTACTTCCGGTGTCCACCACCGGGTTCTGGGGTTGCCGCCGCGACAGGCACCACAGACCTTACGCCCACAGCTCCGAGCAGCTGCATCGACAATAGAGGCCGAGAATGAAGCCCACTCGGACTCCATATCTCCAGCCTCCCCCGGAATCCGGGAGAAGTCCTCCCGGAGGTGCGAGTTGAAGGTCCCTCTGACAGAGGCTCCGCCAGACGTTCCCAACAGACCCTCACTACACGCTTGGGCCTGCCAGGTCTTTCCGGCTTCCTCCTCCGCCAGCGAACCCAACTCACAACCAGGTGGTGATCAGTTGACAGCTCAGCCCCTCTCTTCACCCGAGTGTCCAAGACACGCGGCCGGAGATCAGATGACACGACGACAAAGTCGATCATCGACCTCCGGCCTAGGGTGTCCTGGTGCCACGTGCACTTATGGACACCCTTGTGCTCGAACATGGTGTTCGTTATGGACAAACTGTGACTAGCACAGAAGTCCAATAACAAAACACCACTCGGGTTCAGATCGGGGAGGCCGTTCCTCCCAATCACCCCTCTCCAAGTGTCACTGTCGTTGCCCACGTGGGCGTTGAAGTCCCCCAGGAGAACAACGGAGTCCCCGGTCGGTGCACTGTCTAGTACCCCTCCCAAGGACTCCAAGAAGGCCGGGTACTCGAGTACTCTGCACTGCTGTTCGGCCCGTAGGCCGACACCACAGTGAGAGACCTGTCCCCGACCCGAAGGCCTCTCGTTCACCGGGGTGAACTCCAACACACAGCGACTGAGCTGTGGGGCAATGAGCCCACACCAGCCCCCCCCCCCACACCAGCCCGCCGCCGCTCCCCCCCCCACACCAGCTCGCCGCCGCTCCCCCCCAACCAGCCGCCGCCGCTCCCGCGGCCAACGCCAGAGAAATGGAGAGTCCAGCCCCTCTCAAGGAGTTGGGTTCCAGAGCCCAAACTGTGCGTGGAGGTGAGGCCGACTATATCTAGTCGGTAACGCTCAACCTCCCGCACAAGCTCAGGCTCCTTCCCCCCAGCGAGGTGACATTCCATGTCCCCAGAGCCACAGTCTCCATGTCCAGAGATCCGGTTGTCGAGGTCCCCGCCTTCAACTGCTGCCCAGATCTCTCTGCACCGGCCCCATATGGATCCTCCTGCGGGTGGTGGGCCCACGTGAGGACGGCCCCACGTCGCTCCTTCGGGCTGAGCCCGGCCGAGCCCCGTGGGGGGAGGCTCGGCCACCACCCCAGGCCTGGCTCCAGGGTGAGGCCCCGGTGACGCCAATCCGGGCGACGTAACTGGCCTTGCTCGTACACTCATCATAGGGGCTTCTGAACCGTTCTTCGTCTGACCCGTCCCCCCGGACCTGTTTGCCTTGGGTGACCAGGGGCATGAAGCCCCCGACAACAGAGCTCCCGGGATCATTCGGGCTCAAACCCTCCACCACGATAAGGTGACGGTTCAAGGAGGAGCCCGTGAGAGTCATTTTCAAAAATGAAAAAACGTTCTCTCAAATATTCAGGTTCAGTTCGTTTGTAAAAATCTGCTTGGAGTAAATAGATTTAATAAAATAAAATAAATAAATAAATTGAGCAGCAACCAAATGTGAGATTTTGGGGCCACAGCCACAACCTCAATAAAAACACACAATATTTGACAACAGATTTAGAATCTATGACCAAAAATCTACAATAAAACAAATGTTCATCTTCCTCGCTCTATTTTGATGAAGTTCTGGTCTCAAACATGTTTATAAATTAAGGCTTCAGCAAAAAGTGAACATGGCCCCAAAACTTCAACGGGTCAAAACTCAGGAACGACTGAAGGGACTGAGAGAAAACTTTAGATTCTTTCATTTGGTCATTTTAGACATTTTTAAGATTATTTTTCAGCCAAATCTGAGACGGTTCAAAGTGGAGCTTCCTTGAAAACGTCTGATTTCCTGTGGACTGAGCTTCATGCTGCTGTTGTCCAGGACAGAGAGCAGCTTGGCCAACGTCCTCGTCTCCATCACAGACTCCACACAGTCCTTCATCACACAGGACGCCGCCTTCTGTGTCAGTTTGTCCAGACTCCGGGCGTCGCTCCGTCAGACATTTCCTCCCCCGCGCACCACAGCACGAGCCCACATCCACTCACAATCTGCCTCTTTTTGCACGTCTTAAAGAAGCGACTTTTGTCCTGAAAATCCAGTGTGTTAAGTCCAACCTGAGCCTGACCGTGTCCTGCACTCACAGTTTGTGTAAACGTCCTCTGGGAGGCGCCGTGTCGCCCACAGCAAAACACCAACAGCGACTATAAATCTTTTATTCCTTCTGCCGTAAAGTTTTGAAATGGAAAGTAAATTTGCTGTTGTGTCCCTGATGTTCTGAGGTTTAACTGTGCGTCGTGTGTTTTATGGATTTGATTTGGTTTTGATTTGATTTTATTTTCGAGCAGAGATGTGCAAACTGAACTGCCCTTTGGGATTAATAAAGCTGTTGATTGATTGATTGGTCTGTGTTTGGACAAATCCTGTGTGTTTGTGTTTGTCTTCATCATTTATCACAGAAAACTCAAGGAAACTGGAAGAGGAAACTCACATCATTTTACAGTCAGAAAAATAAAAACAAACTTTTTTGAAAAAAGACACTTGTGTTTTTGTCCTGTTTTTCTTTCGTTTTGTCATTTTTCTCGTGTTTTTGTCATTTTTGTGTCATATTTTTGTTGTATTTTGTCATGTTTTTATCGTGTTTTGTCACATTTTTCTCGTGTTTTTGTTGCATTTCGCATTTTCTCAGGTTTTGTCACATTTTCCTGTTTTTCTTTTGTTTTGTCATTTTTCTCATGTTTTTCTCATGTTTTTGTCATGTTTGTGTCATATTTTTGTTGTATTTTGTCATGTTTTTCTCCCGTTTTGTCAAGTTTTCTCATATTTGGTCATTTTTCATGTTTTTGTTACATTTTTCTCATGTTTTGTCATATTTGTGTCATATTTATTGTGACGTTTTCTCATGTTTTTGTCGTGTTTTGTCACATTTTTCTCGTGTTTTTGTCACATTTTCTCGTTTTGTCATGTTTGTGTCACATTTTTGTTGTATTTTGTCATATTTTTCTCCTGTTTGATCATATTTTGATATATTTGACTTGTTGTTTCGTGCCCGTAGTGTTAGTAAAGTAAATAAATCAGTCTGTCCTGTGTGGGTGACACATGTTGGTGGGGACTGTCCCTGATCAGCTCAACACTGGAGGAGACGTGTCCACACCTACACAAACTTCCACCAATGAAATAAACCAAACTAAACCTGTTTCACTTCTCTGTTTCTTCTGTTTTCTCTTTTGTCTCTTAAACTTAAAGAAGCTCTGCAGATGAAGAAGTTCTGTCCTCGTCCTCTGCTCCTGCTCCTCCAAAAACTCACCTCATTTACTCATTTATTTAGACAAAACTTTAAGACGATCGTGTCGTTGTTTCTTCTGCCAAAAGAAACTCAAATAAAAAGAGGTTTTGTTGCTTCTGGATGTTTTTTATTGCACCAGTGTGTGTGTTTTTCTCGCTCACTTGTCCTGGAGCAGGACTTTAGACTCCAGAGACCAGACGTCCCTGTTTCCCCGAGTCAAACTTTGGACTTTTGATTTGTCCAAAATCATTCAATAACTATAAAACCACAATAGAACCACTGAGAAAACTTCAAAAAAGAGCAATAAGAATTATTTATAAAGTCAA